TCATAAAACCCCTTAAGCTATAAATATGTGTTTAATTTTAATTCAATTTTGAAAGTGCAGCCATACTTTTCGGACACTCTCTATATATATTCGAATTTCTATTAAATTTATGTTAGAAAAACTTGCTAACATAGAGCTATCGGAAGCAATAATAACAAAATTTCTTTTAAAAATAAGGTCTACAATAAATAAATAGACATTTATTTATTTTAAATTTTTTTTTATCTTTTGCTTTTTATATAATTATTGTGATATATGTGATAAAACCATACTTTTTATTATTCATCTAATCTAAAGCACATTTTAAATAAATCTGTTCTTCCGGATATATGAATTGGAACTCTTCTTTCCAATCAGCTTATACTAGACGACTACTGAATATCTTATCTGGTAGGTGAAAGACAGAATCCATCCATATAAGCCTTATAAAATATTAATCAGTTACATATTTTGCTCATCGTTGCAACTCTAGTACGGAATCATTATTCATGCTTTAGGACAGAAATGCAGTACCGTGTCCTCAGGATCTACATAATCACAAAAGTAGCAAGAAGCTTAACGTGATAATACCAACAAAACAATGTCTTTTTTTTCTTTTAAAACATTCTCATCGATTATGTAAATGTTACTTCACGATAGTATTTTTTGTCACCTTTATTCTTTTGAAGTGACACTTTTTTTCTTCTGAACTTGAATGATATTATAATATTTATTTATTTTTTACTTAAATTAGGTTTAAATAAGTGTATTCCTCATTCCTTATCAGTCATCTTGTTAAATTTGAAGCAAATTATGTTATTTTCTCATCAAAAAAGACTACAAAATCTCTTCTATTTAAAATATAATTGATTTTTTTAAATATTTAATTTTGTTAAGCTATCTCCTGTAATTTAAATTTTAAAATGATGTATGAAAATACGTGTATCGCGCGAATATTTGATCAGTTACTATAGAACGGGTATACGTTTTTTCAATGTTTGCTGTGATTATTGTTTGTTCAAAATATACTTATTTTTATATTAAAATATGATACCGATGCTCTCTGTAATTTTTTTGGCAGAAAAAGTGTATTCATCTGTAAAAAACTCAGTGTGATTTTTTTACACAATAACTTTTTGTGTAAAGCTTCATACACTTACTTAACTTTAGTGGCGTGACAGCCCGTAAGGGACAAGGTCTACTGTGACCAACTCAGTATACGCGACCTTTGACCCTGAGGTGCATGAGCAGATGTTTAGGTCAGGACGAGAAATCCTCAGTGTTAAGTTTCCAAGAAAGCTTGGTATTTATCAACCCACTGAAGGGATGAAAGTCTGAGTCAACCTTGTCCAGCTTGGAGTTTGAACCTCGGACCTGTGGCGTGGAAGAGTGATGCAAAATCTTCACATGATTGTCTGTAAAGGAAGAAAGGAAAAATTGCTCTGAGAGAAATAAACATCTTGTCACTATATTGGCGTTGGCATAAGATAAACTGTATTTTGCGTTTTTTACCCTTTTAAACTACACTGAAAACGAAATTAAAGTCAGTTTTGCGTTCAAATCCTGAAATAGAATCCTGTATAGATACATTTATCTTTAAGTATTTAACTATGTATCGTAGGATCGTTGGCCTATGGTTTTTATCTAAGTATAATCTTTTAGGTTGAGAGCACTTTATCAAAAATGTAAGCAACCAAAATCTCTACTGTTGAACCATTGATGAAAAGAGATATCTTTCTATTTTTGCAAGAAAAATGAGATTTTAAATTTCACATAAGAAATAAAAGAAGTTTGGAAATTGATATCGAGCTTATTGAGTAAGTTTATCCTTTCTATATTAGCTTAAATCAAGCTCTAATTTTGTTACGTCATAATTCTTTTCGAAATGAAATTGTAGAGTATTGTAGGAAAGTAAGGACTTCGACTTTAAAGGTGTCAAAACTAAAAAGAATTCAGCGTTTAAAGTCTAAATTTTTATTTCGTTGTCTTACTATAATCACAAAATTATCATATTCTTATGTTTTTTTAAAAAACTTGAAAGTGTTTTTTAAATGAAACTGATTATTTTAAGTTTTATAAATTCATCTAAATTAATAGAAAGTCAAGTGATAAGTGATTTGTTGTTTAATTTCTTAAAGCTTGAAAATTGGTTGTTGTTACATGATTGAAAGTTTTGTAACCGTGTACTTGTGTGTATTATTTATATGGTATCTCTGCAGATAAACTGAAAATACTTGAATAAAACTGTCTGGTAATAAGGGTGCGTGATAAAATAAAAGGAAGCAATACCTAAGAAATTGACATCTTACTGTTTTATTTTTTTATGAGCAGTATATTGTTATCTAATAGATACGATAAGATATGCTATTTTTAATATTAACCTATTTCGGATTATTTTTGATAAAAGGGTATACATTACTGTTTTTGACTCAATAAATTAGATTTTCTAAGTGTATTGTTTTTATGTGTGAGAAGACAAATTTTCTTTCTATTAAATTTTTGATTTTAAAAAGTCTGTATCTTGCTGATAATAGAACATCTGTGCAAGTATCTGCATTTAAGTTAGAATTTAATTTCTAATTGAGGTGACAATGATGACTGTTACGTAGTATTTTGACTAGCATTAAAAAGACTTCGGGTATCTACGTTAACTTATTTCAGAAAACACTGAGTCCTGATTCCATGCTAATAGACGATGTTTTCCCCCGCAAAGATGTAGCTCTCAGGTCAATATTTACATAATGAAACCTTAATCCAAATCGACCTGTTGGCCAAGCAACTACTGATTGAATTCGATAAAACATGTTCTGGGTATTCTAGAAATAGGATTGTAAGTTTCATTTATGTTTCTCTGTAATCTCTTATCGAATGCCATCATGTCGTAAATTTTCATTGATAACTGCGTTGTTTTACCTCTTTGATGATATGAGTAAATGCATTTCTAATTTTAAGTTCTAATTTAAAATAAATGTTTGCATTTTTGAATTTTTTTTAAACGGTATCTTTTAAAGTTTTATAAAATTGTAAGTGGAATATATTGTTTCAGTATCTGGCAATTATTTCTTGATGATCTAATGGATTTTATTTTTCTTTTGCTTTCAATGTAAAGTGTGTGAATGTACAACTTGTAAAATTTTTTAGATCTGAAATATTTGTAAATAAATAAATAATCCAAATATTTTTTAAAGCAAATGTCCATTGAGTGTAAACTAGCATATCGTAATTTAAGTGAGTTTTATGAGAGAAAATTATCTTATTATATAGTAATGAGCTAATTTTGTTAATGAATGTGACGGCTGATTAAGTTTTAAGCCAATGGCCTGAATGGAGTATGAACCATAGGAATAGTTCTTGTTTAATGCGTAAGCAAATATCACAACTTATTTTTGTTTAATTATTTAGGAATTATATAAAGGTCTTTTCACAAAAATAAAGGTAACATAAAGCCTTCATTCATCAAAATTTAAGCAAGTTTAGAAAAATCATCGGTATTATTAAAAAAATTAATTTATGCTTTCCCGAGCTTTAATTTTCAATAAGAAATTAATGCAATGATTACACCGAAATGTAATTTTTTAACATATGTTGGTTTTATTATTATTATTTTACTCATAAAGAAAATTTAATTGCATTTGTTAATAATTAATATTAAAGTTTCATTTTAAGAATTTTGCTTGAACTTCATACAGTTTGAGAATATAATTAATATAACCATGTAAATAATTCTGCTATAAATTTACTGATACTTAATTATAACCAAAATTACGAGCTAAATGAAATTTTTATAACATTTAAGGAAATTTGAAACATTTTATGAGGTAAGAACTACTTTCATACTTTAAATGTATTCTTGTACTGCTCTCTTTATATGTAAATCAGTGATTCTCAACAACTGTACCACCACATTTTTTTAAAATTATTAATTATACTCTAAGAAAAAAAATAAAATCCGAAACCAAATCATTCATCCGTTTTATAGAGACAAGCTAAGGATATTTGTGGTTATATAAAAGTTAATCTTTCATGGATATATGGAAATGCATTATATCACGGATAAGTAAAATTCTTTTAAACTTTTTCAATACCTACTATTAGTTCATGCTCTTCCTATATATATATATATCTTGTTCAAATTTTCAATCTTTAATAAAATACTTTTTCCATTCAGGTTCAAATACATTTTTTTAAAACTTGTAGTGGATGACACTTGATGTTAATACAGCTTTTTCAAATATTAATTCCTTAAATCAATTTAATTAATAAATAAATAGTAACAAACAAAAATAATAGTCCAAAACCATATATAAAAAGAAAAATCGCTCGTTGTATCTCTGTGAGGGAATGAGTGAATATTAACGTCGCACTGTTCAGCTACACGAGGGTCTTTGGCGACGGACCACGTAATTTTGAATCATGGTCAAGTGACGTGGACGACACCTGAGCTGGACCCCCCCTCTCCTAATGGGAGGACGTATAAGCTCTCGACAGATTTAAAGCTGTTTTTGGTTAATGTTAAAGAATAGGACCCAAATTTGGAATAGTTTTTCAGATATAAAAGAAAGGAAAAATTACTATGATATTCTAGCTTCACTATCCTTTAGAGAGCAGCATTTTTTATCATACTTCCCATTTTTAACCGACTTGATTCATTTTTTCTGGTATATATATATAAAATGTGTTCCGCAATTTTTATCCTATACCTTAATGTTAAATGGGCATTGCATTCACGTATTAAAACAAAAAGGAAAGTATTCACGGAATATTTTGAAAATTTTAAAAAGAATTTAATGTTAACAGAGGTACGAGTTATGATATTGCGAATTTCTATGGAAATTGGGTAATTTTTCTGTCTGAATATGTGTTTCGCGTTTAGTTAGAGCTCTCGTACTTTTACCGAAGACAGCCTTAACGTGCATCGCTCCTCTACATGGCGGGTCTTTGGTGGTACTGGGCTCGAACTCACACATGACATGCTTGCCATCATCCGATACCTTGACCACTGGGTTACCGCAGCCTGTTGTATCTCTGTAGAGCAATGGATAACACGTTGGACTTATAGTCCAAAGGTCGTGGGTTCGAATTCTACCTGGGATGGCCTAATTTCTGAGGATGTGTTTTATGAATCAATAAATCGTAACAAACAAAAATAATAGTCCAACACCATATATAGAAAGAAAAAGGCAAAATTGCAAGGAAAGTCGCTTTCTATTTCATCACTTAATATTGTTATTCTGTTAAATGTATATGCATATTTACATGAATTGTAATTATTTAATAAAAAGTAACTAAAATAAAATTTTTCTTTGTTGACCTAAGTAGGAATTGACTTTAAAAAAATTATATTACCTGTTTTATTGTTAGTGCTCCTCCAAATTTTAAATTTGTTAAAAATGTACAGCAAAAAAAAAAAAAAAAAAAGGTTGAGAATCACTGCTCTAAGTATTCCATCTCTAATTTTAAATCTTTGCAGTGCTCGATATCACATCAACAATTTGTTTGATATATGTTACTGTTTTATTTTGTTATTAATAGAAGACAATCCAAAGAAATTAATAATGGTTGTTTCACTGAAAAAGTGGAGTTTTTAAATCCTTCTTTACTTATATCTTTGGTTCCATCCTTGATGTACATTTTTAAAGTAAATTTATGTCTTGTAGCAAGCAAGTCATTACATTAAGAATCATTGACATCATTCTTCAACTCCCCTTTTCTCACTGAATAGTAGCAAATTCCGGCGATCAAGTACAATTTAAAAATAAGTAGAAGACTCGATTTCGCTATTGAAAAAGAACCCGGAATAGTATTCCCCTGCTTCTAAGCCATTAAAGGTTAACACAACCCCAAAAACCAGAAAAAAAGAAGTCCAAGTAAAAACCGATTTTCCGTAGGGTCTTAATTAGAGTCGGTTGAGAGGAATCCATTTCAAGACCTATTGGATGTCCATCGACCGCTAGGTGTTAGCGTCTCTACCAATGGATATTTATCGGAACTGAGCTCTCAAGAAAGCCCTAGAGATTTGGCCCCAAGGCTTTTCATCTTCATCTAGGAGCCTATCCATGTCAGGGGTTGACCCGAGGCCCGCCCCCTTTTCCCTATATCCTTGTCTTGTGTTTAATGTCTGTGCTTTGCTATTTCCGCAAAGTCTGAAGGGCTTGACTTTAGACGGAGTTCTTCACTGGTAATCCTGTAGGTGATGGAAAGTCCTAATGTCGTTAATGTGAGAGCATCTTTCCATTTTACAAGTATTTCTTGTAGGCCGAGGAAAAGAAAAATGTCTTTCAAAATGAGATTTTTATGTACGTAGTTGGTGGAGGAGTCATTTAATATTTATCGTATACATATTTTTGTGATTTTAATGGAAACTTAGGTTTTTCGTGAGGGCTTATAATATCTAAAAAAACATTTATTGGTGTGCATTTTTCACAAATTATCACTCTTCTAACTCAAACATTTTTGTTCAAAATATAAATAAAGAGGTATCTTTGGAAAAGTTTCTTTTTTCGAAGTTTCAATCGGCATATTTATTTTCTAGTGTACAATTATTTTTTAGAAATAAACGAAGAAGAGCGAATCTATGAAATACAAGATTAAGCTTTTCCTAGACATATTAATAGAAGCATCTATGTTTTGTATTTTATTTGATATGTCTTTATAGATGTGCATTGGAAAAAATTAGTAAACCTACGCTGTTCATTTACTTGAATTGTTCTAGTATAAATTTTATTTTAATCTAAAATGGAAGTAGTTCTATAAATTATAATAGTTTAAAACAGAGTCACGTGACTTTCATTTAATTAAATAGTTAGCTCAAATAGTTAAATGTAACTAGGTTTAAAAATGAAAAATAAATGTAAAAGTATATATATACTACTGATTTATTCATGATAGGAGCACTTATAATAAGCATTTTATCTCAATATTCTAATTTGAAAGCAGAATCTTCTAATTTCTTAATTTTTGTTACAATTTTTATTCGAATAATTTAACGTAGATGCATCCATTATATTCAGCTTTTGTTTCTTGTGTTGCACGTCATTTAATTTATTATTATTTTTTTTTGTAGAGAAGAAAGAAAATATTATACTTCGAAGATTTTCATTTTGTTTCCCATGTGATGTATAATACTGTTATGATCAATAGATCTAAAAATTTTAGAAAACTTTATTCTCATTAATAAATTAATTTCAGAGCCTCCATTCAGCGATGGAGTTAGCTGTCTCCAGAGTTTAATTCTGAGGAAAATAAAATGTACATAAATTAGGAATTTACTACGAGAATTACAAGAAACAATTGATTGGCTTTTTGAATGTAATCTATCAATTTAAGTATTTCAAACAAATTGCTCTTTTTTTAAATATCATGTCTTTAAAGTTTCTACCTAAGAATTTTGTCTTTCTATTACATTAATTGTCAAAAGCTAATATTGAGATGAAAATTTCTCTAAATTACTAGCAAAACGTTTCCGTCAGATAAGAATCCCATATGTTATCCGTTACCCTGATAACAATAATACCCTTTGAAAATATACAAGTACATATATAATTATAAATATATCAAGTATATAGTTACGGATTTTGTTTAAATCATTATTTAATTTTATAAAATCAATAAAAGACATGACGAATTACTTAAAAAAAATATACATTGAAAAGTTGTCACACTTCTTTGTATCGAACAGTCTAACCCAGTGGTTCTTAAACTTTCGATCCCTGTGGTCCCCTTTATGCATCAACCTGACATAGCAGACCCCCAAGATTTTAAACACCCCTCACCGACTCCAAACAATTGGGTGGATGACTTAAATGCAATAGTTATCTTATCGGCGAGCTGGGAATTCAGTTATTAAACTTTACTTATGTGTTTTTAATATTTTTTGAAAGTATTGCGTAGTAGTAATGGCTATGCAGTTAAAAAAAACAAAAAAAAAAACTGAGCTAATATTCTTGATCAAAATACATGTTCCAGTAGAGTATTTCATTGGGGAAAAATTAGTGACCCAGTCTAGTCAATTTTTCTACGAGACCTTTCAGAGTGAGAAAAGAGGAAAAAACTTAACATTAAAAGAGAGACCTACTTTCGCTAACCCCCTAGAAAGGCGTCGGGGAACTCCGGTTTTTACGGGCCACAGTTTAGAAGCCCCCCTGATCTAACCTATTTATGAATAAAAGCAAGAAGCATTTCAATTTCTATAATGTATGAATTTTCATGAGATGCTTTTTTCTGTTAGAATTACTTCAGCCACTTTTTGCATGATTTTCTGTGACGAAATTCTTGACTTTCACACCATTTTTCAACTTTAAAGCAATTTTTAACTGCAGATGAATTCATATGTAGACATCCAGCATTTTGAAAATGAATATAAGCATTGAATCATTCGTTTCATATTGATTCTGGGAGAGAAAACTCTACTTCGATAGATTTTAACTTTTAAATTTGATTAAAAATACATGTAAGGCAATCAAGAGAATCTTCACGTTTATTTTTAGAACTAATTAGTTTTATATATATATTTCGCTTTTTATAGAATTCTATTAATTTTGTGCATATTTAAAACATGTTTCTTATCAAGCTTTCTTGCGCTGCTAGAAGAGAGAGAGAGAGAGAGAATTACATTTATTTTTTAAACATCTATCGGAAAATATGTAATGAAATGTAGAAATTGATATAAATTTTGTGAAAATGATAATTAAAATTTTTCTTTGGAATGCGCTTTTAAGTTAAAAAATAAAACAACATATTTTGAATAAGTTTTTAAATTTATCTCATTACTTGTTACTGAAAAACACAACGAAAATTACACTTTTTAAGCGTGCTAAAGCATCTAGTTATTTTTTGGACTGTAAATGATTTTTATTGAATCTAATTAACATTCACGAATATTTTATCCAATAAAAACAAATGATTAGAATTCAGCTAATACAGCACTTATTTTTTAAACTTTTTGATTCTCTGTAAATCATATGGGAACTAACTTTAACATATTTTTTGAATTTATAAATCCTTAAAAATTTACATGTTCTTAGGCAATTAGAAATGCAAACAACGGAACCATAATATCCCTTACTCTAGAAATTCTGAAGTCGAAGATCCTGAAAATATATTAAATACCTTTCTGTCTTTTAACAAATATTTTGCAATATTACTTGAAATGTTGAAAGGGTTCGAAACATCTAAAAGCTCCGGGATTCAATTAAGATTGATATGATTATGTTAAAATGTAAAAGGAAAATTTAATGTTTAAAGTTTTTCATGGTGTTTAATATATTCTTAAAATAAGCTGTTCTGGAAAGATAAGTTTTCTTTTATTTTGGAGTGTATCTACTTTGAACGATTTTATCGAATTGAGCTTCTCTGTAACATTCAACAAATTTTATTCATTAATTTTTTTTCTTGCACTGAGAGATAACGAGAACAATTAAAAAGTAACTTAACAGACATTAAGATATGATTATTTAACGAGAATACATTTCTGTTCAAAGAAATCTTATTATTAGCTTGCACGGAGTACTCATTAATGTTAATCTGTCTTTAATTGAAGTAATGTTCCCGTAAATGATTCTTATTTGTTTTTCGACAATATAAAATAAAAGCGTTTTCCACTTCTGACAGTCATTTATAAAACGTAAGGAAGTAAAGTTACGGTACAAATCTTAATCCGTAATCATAATTAATTTATACATCACAATTAACGAGTTAAGTAATGCATTTGGAGGACCTTTCTTTGTTGTTTCGAGAAGATTAATAAAGCATACTACTAACAGCTTTCAGCTTAATTTTTCATCTCAATAGGTAAATGAATATTTGAGTGCTCCTCATTTCTTTGAAAGAAAGCTTTTAAAAGAAACCTTTTAATTTACCTTAGAATTCAGCAAAACCACATTAAACATGAAAACAAATACATTGTTGAATAATCTTACATAAAATGCGATGCAATAATTTCTTAAGACAATACTCAAGGTACTAAGAAACGTTTGTAGGGTAATCTTCAATAAATTTTCATGTTGCTTTTTTGCTAAAGATTTTTTAATGGAAGGATTTGTAATTATTTTAATTTAGCATGTATAAAAAACTAATTTAACGTTAATTTCAAAGTG